ACGCCTCATCACTGAGCTCCCATCTTCACTTCTCTTTATGAGTCAACTCATGTGGAAGAAAATGAAGTAAACAATTCCTACAGGTGTCCCAACTTTCATTGAAGATGTGCAACGACAGATTCTCTCCGTACAAATGCGATGTTACTGCACCCTCTGAAGCATCATTTGACCATGGACAAAGGAGATCAGAGCTTCTCAGGGTTTCATCCTGCAGCAGGAGAATGAGCCACACACAGCTCCAGGCTGTGGAGAAGGAAAGGCAAGCACAGTGTCCTGACTTTCCAGCAATCTACAAGTGCAGCTCGTCTGTGGGAGCGCCTGCAGCAGCGCCGTCTGTCACAAACATATTTTACTTCAGCTATAAAAAAGAATGTCACAAGTGGAAAAATGATCCAAAGCCTTTGAACAGTAGTGCATTTATTATCCTAATTTTTTAAAATCTGTCTGTGCGAGGGCTGATGTCGCTCAGCAATGTTAAGCTGGGACCAGTATACGTCTCCTCCAGCTGAAATGATCTCCTTGTGAAAAATGCATGTGGCTGCCAGCAAATCTGTTTATCTGAGTGCTGGGAATGAATGTGTTGTAAACGTGGTAGCAAGTTGCGCTGGAGCTCAGAGGAATTAACAGGCTTCACATTCTTCGACAGGCTATGAGGACTTGACAGGGGCAGAGCGGATCAGAGAGATGAGTGGGATTGTGACATGGTGAGATTAATCTATTGATCCCTGTGGAGGAGGTGCTTCACTGCAGCAGCAAATAGCAGGTGGTCAAATTAATTTAATGTCTACAGAACAATGGAGGAAATGAAGAGGACTGCATAAAAACAAACTGTCCTCAACATCCTTCCATACTTTTCACTCATGATCACCTCTCCTCTGTATATAAAGCTCAAAATACAAAAATTTAACAAAAAAAAAAAAATTTTAAGTTACTATTGTCTTTTCAAACTGATTATTTTTATATACAGGATTAGAGTTGGTGGAGGGAGCACACTGTGTAAAATGGTAAATACACGATTATGTCTTGGACATTCTGATCTCTGCCTTCTGATATGATGGACAAGAGCATTTAGTTATGTTAAGGCACAAGAACAACTCGAGGAGGTTTCGGGGCAGATCACAGCTGGGGTTGCAGTAATGCTTGGTTCAGACTACACGATTTTTCTGTTAAGATGGTCACTACGTCAGATTACATGATTATAGAGTCATAAATTCTTGCTACTTGGATGAGGGAAGTGACTGACTATACGTTGGTACCAGACGGATCACAGAGTGAAGGAGGTACAGGACAGAGAGAATGGAAACATAGTATAGTGTATGAAGTGGTGTGTGTGTGTGTGTGTGTGTGTGTGTGTGTGTGAGATTGGTCATCATTTACTATGACATGCTATATGAGAAAACTATCGATTATTGTGTCTGATGCCTGTTATTGGGCTTAAATTGTATAGTCTGAATTCAGCATAAGTGCCGCTTTAAGTTTAGAGGAAGTCCATTGTCATGGTGACAATAATAAACGCACAGTTAAGGTTATAAAATGTGGTTATTAACTGATCGCAAGATGAAGAAAATGCATCTTTTTATGCTAAAATTCACCAGAAACAAACATTTATGATGGTTTCTCTGATAAATAACACTAAAATAAAGACATTAAAAATAAACAAACAAACAAACATAGTAAACCTTCTCCTCCACTGTGGCCTACTAACAGTCCAGCTCGGTTGGACTGATCATCAACCGAGTCCTTGAAATCGCTCTAAAGTAAAAACCATTAAACTGTACAAAGAACAGTGCTTCAGCTGTGCAATTCAAGTACAACAGTAGTGAAATAAAGTGGTGAGTCAACGCACTCCTTGCCTCTCTGTGCTTTGATTAAAGAACAGCTCGTCCTTAACCTCAGCCCTGTGTCTCACACAATTAGCACAGCTTCATACCTTCCTATTCTGTTGGAGAGCTGAATTAACTCTCTTGTCTTAGTGAAAAGAGGCATTTGTTTTTCTTTTTTTAATCACTCCACGGAGCAAAAAAAAAAAAAAGAACAGAAAATAAATAACACAAGGAGAGGGTATTTGTGAGTACTGACAGCCAAAGAAAGAGAAAGACGGCACCTCTCCACCTCTCTCTTGTCTGTCATCGCTTGAGTCAGGAGCTGATATTAATCTACAGCTGTCTCGCTCTCAGCTGAAACAAATTCACACACAGAGCTTCTGAACAACAGAGCACATGGCTGAAATCTTAGGAGCTTCTGTCTTCTCTCTACTTGCATTAAAAAACTCATCACTTGCACTGTAGCATTGAACGTGGTTTTAGGTCTTAGTTTAAAAGGAATACACTTATAACTTTGGATGATATCTAGCTCTTATGCAATTTAAGTGTTTTGGACAAAATTACCTGCCAGATTAATGTAATCACTGTGCTGGCGTTGTCATTACAAACATTTTAACATGCCAATGTCTGTATTTACCTCACCACTGCTTTACCTAGCACGGCTGTTGCCTGTTAGTGTTTTTTTTTTTGTCTATTAAATTGTCAAAAATGACCAAAAACTACTTACTGTATGAGATTTAAATAAATTCAACAATGAACCAAGGAAACATTAGTCCACTAACAGACCATTCCTAAAGCACTTATATAAGATTTATCATTAAAAATAAATAAAATCAGTCTCTATGGGCCCTGCCACCTCCACTTCTTTTATAATTTTTAAATCGCCCTCCACCAAACATGTCATATGGGACATCTGGATGATTTACGAGTGCCTTCGCTCAATTCTGTAACCTTGCACACCATTAAATACTGTAGTTTAAGAATAAATGTTAAGCCAGAGTATAGGTAAACGCTAACATCACACAGTGCTTTATTTACTCAGTAGTAAAGCTATATTGTGACCTTTTTTTTTTAGCATTTTTTATTTTCAGATTTCCCTCTTTTCAGCCACAGTTTCCAGAAACTGACACAGCAGCTGGTGAAAGAGTCAAGTCACAGTTGAGCCCAGTAGCGCTGTCAACATTTATAAGCATATCGCAAATACATATAACGACTTTACATGCTGCGAAATTGACAGAAACAATACTTTAGGCAATATATTAATATATTAACATAGAACACTGCTGCATGCTGTGACTGATTTACAGTAGGTCACTGGAAGAAATGAAATCACAACAGTTTATATCACAGTTTTACAAATGGCCTCAGCATAAGACAAGTATGAGCTGGTTCACACACAAACACACACTCATATGACCATGTTACTGTACTTAAAAAAAAAAAATTCCATTAGCTAAACTGTTTTTCTGCTATTAAACCCCTAAACTCTTAACCTTTTTACTCCATTATTAAAAGAACAACAAAAAAAAAAACAATTTATTTAACCAATTAACCAAATATTTTGTGTTTCCAGAGTCTTATTGTTTGTATAACTAACTGATAAAAGAGCAAAACTTGTTGTATTAAGGTGACGTATCACTTTATTCAGTCACACATAAGACACACTACCGTTCTGGCCGAGCACTGATGTCACACTTGTATTTGGCTAATTGACATCAGCTGTTTCCAGTGATCAGTCACAGCTGTGTGGCTGGCAGCGTCCAGTCACTCATGCAGGTGTACGGCACAGACATCAGAACTTGACACTTGTACTCGTGCCTGTGTTGTTTTCTGCTGCGGCCCCTCCACCACCCCAATTTCCTCCTCATGTTGTACTCTTGTATTTTTAATTGCACTAAGATTTAAATGGGATCTGCTCTCAAATGTAATGAGATCTCCTGCAAACTGCAGAAGCTTTTCTGCCAAATCTATTCACTATAAATGGCCAAATCCTTAATATAAGTGCCTCTGACTGAACCTCAGGTATCAAAGAATTTTACTGCACCTCTTTCTGGTGTGACCAGCCACTGAACATGTGTGTGAAACTCTCCACTGGCAGAACACAGTCACAAAGCTGTTGCAGAAGAAATGACTCTGACCACGTTTGTTATAATTATGAAGTGTTGTTCTTTTCAGTGTGTTTTTGGGTGACAGTGGACATCAGCAGCGTTGAGAAAATTTCTTGATGAATAGAAAATAACTTTGCCGTTATTATTTAAGACCAATAATCACTACTGATACTAATCTAGAATGAATCCCGGTTCCCAGTTGTGAAATCGTAAATGTTTAGAAGCCACTTAAACTTGTGAGAACAGTAAGATGATCATTTTCTTTTCATATTCCTGTGCCGATTGGGAAATTTAGTCCTTGTAAGTATAGTAAGAGACACATGCCTCCGTGTACACACCCACTCACAAATCACGGTTTGACGAGTGTGAGTGCGCTCTGCTCTTTTCCTATATATCACACCAGTTGTCCCAGTGGGGCAGGATCCAGCTCACACTAAATGCACCCCTTTATTAAGTTCATTGCCCTGGCTCAAACACAGCACTGTGTGTGTGTGTGTGTGTGTGTGTGTTCACTGAATTGAAGAGCAGTTGTCGTTGACAGCTGCATGGGAGCAGGAGAGAGAGTCGAGTGGCTTCAAATAGTCCTGTTCCTTATTGAACAGAGGAACCTTTCCTCTCTCTTTCTCAGTAGCCGTACTCATCTTTTGTTGACACTGTCATGGAGATGGATTTTAAATCTCTGCTTTTGCTAAAAAAACAAAACAAAACAAAAGAATCTTCCATAAATGTCCAGTACATAGAGATTAGCACAGCCCGCTCCACTCTGCATGTGAAGTGTTGAGGTGGGGATACTCTTCAAAACATCCATCCTCGCTGTATCAGCTGCACATTAAAGGCTCTGTTCACCCAGTTTGGCCTTGAACAGAAGTTGGAGATGCTCAACAGTGACTCAGGAAATTGTTGCGTTCAACCTCCTGCTGTGGTTTTTATTTTAGATTACAACCAAATCCAGATCTCTGAGTGTATAGCCAAGTTTTTCTGTATTTCAAGAGAAACTGTTTTCATATCCTAATTGTCTTCATTTATAGAATTAGAGTTAATGTCTAAACATTCATGTTAAATCTGGTCCATGACTTTAACAGCATTTCAAATTATGCTAACACTGAGGGAAATGTTAATTATTGGTGGACCTTTTTTCAATATTAAAGATTTTTTTATCCCCTAAGGTGCTAAAAAATACTTCCTAATTTTTTTTTTTTAATGGACAAGACACATCTGCCAAGACACTCAAAAATAAAGAGGACTTGTTTCAGAATTAACACGTAGTAGAGACTTAGGACAGAAAAGCTTTGTAGTCGCCCAGCTGTTACATTTTGTGAAATAATGACTTGAGCATCTTCAGTATTAGCTGCAAACCATCTGTAACTGTTATTTAAAACTCTTACATTTGCACTGTGTTGTACGTTTGCTTCCAGTTGACACTGAACTGCTGCTCCATATAGGCCAAAGTGTTTCAACTCTTCCTGCCTTTGCCGTCTGCCAGATTGTTGCTGTGCGGCCTCCTCAACGCCAACATGGCCTTTTCTCCAGCCATAACACTCTCCCAGTGTCTGCAGCCCAGTTGTCCCAGCAAAGCAAGTCCTGCCAAGTCCTTCAAGCGCTTGTCTTTGGAGTTTGACAACACGTGTCTCTGTCCGTCTGTCCCCAGACTATTTCCAGTTTAGGAATGTTGTCCCTGCCTGTTCCAGGAGCACAAAGTCTCATCTTTGTCCAAATCCGTCAAGAGCAGATTCTCTCTCTTCTTTCTGTGAGTCCACTTGTTTCCACGCTCGCTTAAGTATCTGCGCTGTCGCCGTTCAGCTCAGCAGGGCTGCGCTGCTGTTACACAGTCCACCGTAACACAGAGCTGCAAGTAGACCAGAAGCCGTTACAGCACAAAACTGCCGTCAGTTTCCCTGTCAGTCATCCCATAACAGCAGCAGAGCAACAAAGCAGAGCAGGAGTGGAGAAAAGAGGCTATAGCTGATGAGTAGAGAAGGGCGAAGAGTCTCAGCAGTCTCTAAAACCAATACAAATCCTTGCTCTTATCCTGTGCCTGCAGACCTGGGAGAGGAGCAACAGAAAAGGCAGTGGAAGAAGAGGAAAGCAAGAATAGAGAGATTAGAAAAAGAAGCTCTAATGCCTTGTTGATAAAAGCGAGAGGAATTGCCCGAGGAGGAAAAGGCACAAAAGCAAGACGGCAACAGAAAAGCAAGTTGACAGCTGGTGTTAAGGTGTTGATTGACAGTCAGTTTGTTGGTTCAAACCACTTGTGGTAAGTCGATCTGAGGCAGGGACATAGACCTCAGTTCAGTTCTGCCTTTCACACTGAAGCTGTGACTTTGTTAAGCGGGCACACTAAAGGAAAAATTAATTCCCTCAATCTGATACTAGGACTCACAGAGAAAACACCAAAGCAGCTCATTCATTAATTAATTCTCTGGGTGACTGTGCTTTTTGACACAGAGTGGTCGGGTTCAGTGTCAACCCAAACACACAGGAGAGTTTCACTCTGTCAGTACGGAACGGAGAAAATCCATTTAAAAACCACTAATTTAAGCCTTCTAGCTGCTATGGTGAAAAAAGTCATCATGACTTTGATTTTGTTATTTGCGCTGGCTGTTTTCACAGGTGGCTTTCATCTGTTCACAGACAGCCCCATTATGAGTTACACTTGTACCTTGTTAACCTTGTATGAAAGATGACAGATTTTTGTTTTTTCATCCTACTTGGTCCCAGTTTCTTTCATCTGATAGATTCAAAGCAAATAGCTCCAGTCCCTGAGACTTAATAGATGTGTCTGTTCTCTATCGGTTGACAGTATTGACCAGCAAAACATGATGAAATGTGAATGAATGCAGAGTGCCACTCTACAGACGTGTGACAAATTAAAGGAAAAAGCCTGAATAAACGAGTGGTCTCTTCCAGAATGACAGTGCCATCATCCATCAGACACGAGAGGAGTATAAAAATGATGTGAACCAGATGCTGCGGCCTTCCCAGTCACCAGGTCTCAGCCCAGTTGAACAGCTATGGGAGATGTTGGAGCGACGTGTTCGACGGCGTCTCCACCACCATCATCAAAACATCACATAAGGGAACATCTGTTGGAAGAACAGTGTTCATCCCTCCACAAGAGCTCAGAGACTTGGAGAGTCAGTGCCGAGGTGAAGCTGTTCTGGTGACATGTGGTGGCCCAGCTCCTCACTGAGACTCTATGTTGAGGTGTCCTTACATCTGTCACCCATTTGTAGACTTTCCAAGACAAGAGAAACTAAAAAGAGTGTACAAATAATTGTAAAATTGTGACCTTCCCAGAAAATGTCCTGTTTGTGGATTGTTTCCAGTAACTTTCACACCTACAGTATCTTGGAAGAGGACTGACACCTGAACTTACACCTTACGTTACTGTACCTGCATTTGAAGGTGCTCTCACTGGGCCAGATGAAATAAACAGTAAGTCCACAGGTCAACAGAACACTATTCAGATTTATTTTGAAACATCTGAACCTTTTGGCTTGTGACCTTTTAAAGCCATTCAAAACCTACTTGAGTCCCCCTTGTAAACATCACGCAGTGCAAACTAAGCTGTGAGCACCTGGAGGGATGCAACTGCCCATACTTTTACCAGGTAAAAACAGAAAGATAAGACAAATGTTCACAAAATAAACAATATATTAATCACTAATTTACCAAATTTACCTCACAGCCGCTTGTTGAGAACCACTGCCCTCGACCGACTTACTGTTCAAATGTTCCCTTTCAGATTTTTGGCTGATGTGTCGACCCTCTACCCTCAAACCACAGGCATCTCCTATGTTACAGCTGTTTAAAAAAATAGCATGAAAGGCAGAAACTGAAGGTCGAAGGTGTTTGACTCAAAGTAAAATGTTTCAGCTCTTGGCTCACAATGACGCCCAAGTGAAACCTACTAAGCTGTTTTGTTATAGCTTTGGCTGGTGACAGGTGATCATTCTGTTTCTCTATTTTGTACTGAAACTTTACTATTGTTCTTTCTGTCTGCTCTGTTCATACACTGGTTGTATGTCTGTCCATCTTGCTGAGATTTTTATCTTTAACGAAAGCTATCTTTTTGGAGTTTTTATTACCTGAGGGTGTCATGAGCTATATAGATTTGCAAAGCTCCACAAGGATTTATAAGTAAATTGACTTGACCTCAAAAGTTGACAGTACCTGTGTCCATGTTGAGACCGATTTCTGCTCCAGCTCCAGTGAAGGCGCCACTCCAGGTTGACCCCGTCCCTGACTCCCCCTTCCCCCCAAGGTCACAGGGTGAGGCGCTGGGCCCTGGTACTGAGCTGCTAGACGTCAGACGGTGATGAGGCCTCACCGAAGGCACTAACAGCGAGCCGTAGCGTTGGTCAAATGGTGTGCCATACATCTCGTGAACTCCTGGACGTGGGTACGCTGAGCTCTGGCTGCCTATAGCGCCTCCTAGAGAGTAAGGGTGATGATGGTGATGGTGATGGTGGTGGGAAGGGTGCCAGGTGTCGGGGCTGGACTGGTGAAGGTGGCTGTGCAGGGAGGCGGAGGAGTACGGGTCCCCGGGGAAGGACAGCTCTGTGTGGGGAGCAGACAGAGCGCTACCCAGTGTGGAGGAGACCGACGGCTGGTAGGAGCTGTTCCAGAACGACGGAGGGAAACTTCTCTGGCTCATAGGGAATGATCCATCTGCCAAGACGGAAATCTGCAGTTAGCTGGTTAGCTTAGCTTAGAGCACATTATAAGTTGCTGTAGTAAGACATGAGATTGGAGAAACCTGACATTCAGAATAGCAGTCTGACAAAAAAGTCATTGTCATAAGGTTTGCTTGTTTTTGTCCAGGGCTTTCAGCCATATACTGTATTGTATCCATAATACCTCATCTCAAACCTGCTCCTCAAAGTCTTTTGGTGATTTTATCTTATTCATCTTGATTTTCAAGGTATTTTTTTGAGTCAAATATTTGCTTGTTACAGTTTCTTAAATGTTGGCATTTGCTGCTTCTCTCTGTTTTCTGTCTTTTGTAGATTTTCTTTTCTTTTTATTTCTCCCTATTGTTCAAACAAGTTATTTGAAAACCACCTGTGGGGATGTGGGAAACAGTGATGGGCATTTCTCACGGTTTTCTGACATTTTATAGACAAAACAATTGGTCAGTGATGAAAATATCCATTAGTTTAGAAAATATCAACACCACTTTAGAGGTCAGAGAAATTCAGAACCAGAGAGCATGCAATAGGTCCCTGTGCAGGGTAACATTTGGTTTGCTTGAGAAAGGGATTTTTGTTCCAAAACTCAGTTTTGAAACTGATGAAGCCAAAAATCCTGAAAATCACAGCAACAAAATTGTGGTCTTTTGATGTTAAAGAACCAGTAAATACTTAAAATACTTCCTTTTTTTCCTGGTTAGAAGTCACTAGATTACACAAAGGTAATAGAATTTAAAAGTGGCATTTCCGAACATTGAAACTATTTAGTTTCAGTGTTCTGTTATTTCTGGGTCAGAGATCAATAACAGAAGAATGACAAGTTAACATTATGCCAACGAAACACCTGTGAGAAACACAATGTCACTGAAAGAAATATGAAAAATTGAAATTCCTAGTTTTAACTGTTTACTAAAAATATGCGGGTAACACTTCACAGTAGCTTTTACAATTGATATTATGGCAAAGCAATTGTGGTGAGATTTTGCAATTTTATTTTATTTATTTATTTTTACTAAATTCAGAGGCGTGAAAACTCTGGCAGGAGTGAATTCTTTATGAGTTTATATCGCTGAAAATGGGAAATTTGAAATTCCCTGAAAAGCAGTGAAAAGCTTCACTGTTCATGAGCAACAAAAACAATTCCAAATTTTACAGAGGGGAGTAAAGAAACCAATTAATGTAGCTCCTTTTTCTGATTTTGATATTGTGGAAGTGAGACGTTGTCTTGGTCTCTCAAGTTTTTCACCTTGTGGCATGTGATTAAAAATTCATGCAAGGATAAAGACAGGTAAAAAAAAAAAACATTTTAAAATGCAATAACTATAGCACACAAAGACGCACGCGTAATTCATTTATGACACAAACACAATAGAATTTCCAAAACACACAAAACTGAGGTCGTGATCTTTTAACCTTAAAGCATTTCATCATTGTGGGAGTCCCATAATTGTCAAAATTCTGTTTTCATGCTGACAAGCACACACACACACACACACACACACACACACACACACACACACACACACACACACAATGACACAAACACCTCTCATGGCCTTGCG